AATGTCTAAACTCTAGTTAATCCCATTCAATGTAACTGATTTTTTTTTTAATCATCAGACACTATTGTTTCAAACTTGTCCTTCACATCTCTACTTGTCTTTTTTGAACTTATGGAGCATAGTTAGAATAATTGTTTCTATGCTCTTGATTGCTAATTCTGACATTTTTGGCAGTTTTGGTGGGTTTTGACCATTGAATTTTCTTCTCCTTATGGCATGTTTTCCTGATTTTTGGCATGTATGGTAATTTTTTATTAAATAACAGGCATGTGAATTTTAACAAGTGTGTTGCTAGGTATTTTCATATACTTACAAATATTCTTGAGCTTTGTTCTGGAGCACCATTAAATTACTTGGAAATTGCTTGATCCCTTTGAGTCTTGCTATGTAGATTTGTCAGTTGTAACTGGAGCAGGGATCATTTTAGGGCTATTGAGGCAAGGCCTTTCTGCATGCTCTACCCAATGCAATGCATCATGAATCTCGAGATTCTCTCATTCGGGTGGTGAGAACAGACGGCATTGCCAGCCTTGTGTGAGCATCAAGCACTGTTATCTATAATCTATTCAGTTTCTTTCCCTCCCTCAAATTATTTCCTCGTGTGAGTACTGATTAGTACTCAGCCAAGTAATTGGTGGTCTTCCCTGGCGGCTCAAATGGTAAGGAATCCACCAGCATTGCGGGAGATATGGGTTTAATCTTGAGTTAGGAAGATTCCCTGGAGAAGGGCATGGCTACCCACTCCAGTATTCTTTCCTGGAGAATTCCATGGACTGAGGAACCTGGGGGGCTATCGTCCCTGGAGTCACAGCGTTGGACATGACTGAGCAACTAACACTTGTACTTTCACAAGTAACTGATGAATGATCTTCTGCAGATCTCGGGGTTCTTTCTCTGTACAACTCACTTTCTTCAGCCTTCTATTATGCAAACTTCAGTTGCCTTGCCATCTCCAAATTTTCAGCTCCGTTTCCTTTAGGAAGCCCACTAAACATTTCCTGAGTCTTCCCTCGCTGCACTGTGGTCTAAGAGCTCAAAACAGAGAGCTGGGGAAATTTTAAGGCTTATTTGTTTTTAGCTTCTCGGGAACCACCGTCCTTTACTGCCTGATGTACAGTGTCTTGCAAACTAGTATTTCATATGTTTTGTCCAGCTTTTCTTGTTTCCAGCAAGAGGGTAAATCCAGTTCCTGTTACTCTATCTCAAGCAGAAGTGGGAACTCTGGAAGGGACTTTTAATTGGATGAATAATACCTATATTCTAAAATCGTCCAAATTATATTGCATCCTATTATACTGTATTTAAAGCAACTTTGAGGCTTTATCTTATACTACCTGCAATGAAAAATGGATAGGCTTTGAAGATGGAAAAATCTAGATTTGAATCTTAGAACTGCCATTTAATATTTAATAGGTATGTGGTTTACTAGACCTGTAAGTTCCCTCAATCTCAGATTGATAACCTTATTTGATAAAATAAGGTGGAAAAAGTTTACCTTAAACACAAAGATACTATGCATTACTGTATTTTTTTAATAGCAAAAATTTGGCAATAGATACTGAAACAAATCAGAGTTAATCTGTAGTTTGTACCTTCATGAAACACCTAATAAGAATGAGAGAGATCTATATTATTCTTAGGGAAAATGTTAATAACATACTGTTACATGAATAAAGCATTTTTCAGAAAAACCAGTGGAGTGTGAACTGATTTTTAATTTAAAAATTTCTGTGTGTGTGTTTACATGAAGAGAACGCCATCTGGAAGGATATATGAACAATTTAAGTGAGTTGATGAGTTGGAAGTAGGGCTAAGGTTTTTTAACTTTGAAAAACTTTTAAATACAACTTTTTTTTTTAACCAGTTGTATTTAAAAAATAATGAGAAATAGCTAGTGGAAATCTGCTATATAACACGGGGAGCCCAGGCTGGCACTCTGTGATGACCTAGAGGGATGGGATGGGGAGTTTGAAGTGGGCTCAAGTGGGAGGGAAATAGATGCATATAGCTATGGCTAATCTGTGTTATTGGATGGCAGAAAGTTAAAGTTAGTCTCTCACTTGTGTCGACTCTTTGTGACCCCATGGACTGTAGCCCACCAGGCTCCTGTCCGTGGAATTCTCCAGGCAAGAATACTGGAGTGGCGATCTATTTCACATATGATAATATACGTGTTTGAATGCTATTCTCTCAAATCATCCCACCCTCGCCTTCTCCCACCGTCCAGGTTCGATGTATGAGTCAGGGTGCTCAGGGCTGGTGCGCTGGGATGGCCCAGAGGCATGGGATGGGGAGGGAGGTGGGAGGGGGTTCAGGATGGGGGACACATGTACAGCCATGGCTGATTCATGTGAATGTATGGCAAAAACCATCACAATATTGTAAAGCAATTAGCTTCCAATTAAAAACAAAAAAATGTAGAGAAGGCAAACTGTAATGGAGGGAATCAGATTGGGGATGTCTGGGGATAAGTATAGAGGAAAGGATTAACTGTAATGGACCAGGAAGGAATTTTTTGGGGTTATATCTATTTATGTTTTGATTTGTGTGGTGGTCACATAATAATATATATTTCTCATGAATTGCTGACTTGTACAATGACAAAATACACATTTTACTGAGTGTAAATCATACCTCTATAAAAGTGATTAAATTTTTTAGACCAAAAAAAAAAAAAAAAAAAAGAATACTGAAGTGGGTTGCCATGACCTCCTCCAGGGGCTCGAACCCAGGTCTCCCGCATTGCAGGCAGACTCTTTACTGACTGAGCCCCCAGGAAACCCTATGGCAGAAACCCACACAACATTGTAAAGCAGTTATCCTCCAGTTAAAAAGAAATGGACGTGTATTAATTTCTTTCTGCAACAAAACAGGTAACAGCAGAAGTAAAGTTCAAGAGGAATAACAGATGCGCCTGCACGGTTCACACTGTCGGGGCCACCAGCCAACCAGCACCAGAGCACGGGCGTCGGCCCTGGAGGGACCAGAGTGCTGGACAGGAGGAGCCTGGGAGGGCCTCTCACAGGGTTTAGGGAATCATTTAGGAATTCAGTGATTGGATATTTTGAAAATTTGTACCTAAGAGGTGACAAAATTAAAGTGAGAAAAAGAAGAGGCATTTACTCATTTTATTAGGAAAAGGAGAATGTTTAGCTATTTTTCTGGTTGCTAAGAGTCCTTATCTCACTCTTATTTCAGGCAAACTCACAGGGTGGCCCTTTTTTCTGTCTTGGCCCATCTCAGTCATGGAGTGGCCTTGGTTTATCGCTCAGGTTCTGTATGGGTTGTTTATGTTCAGTTGGGGGGAACATTTTTAGCTAATATTTTAGCTGTCATCTTCAGGACCATTCTATGATTTATCCATGCCATTAGTAATTTTCTCTCTCCATTTATAGTTTATTTTGCTGATGATAAAATGGCTCTAGTCAATCTTAGGATTAATTATGCTAGTGTATTGGCTCTAATCCTACAGATTTTACTCTCCTCCTCCTATTCCAGAGTTATGCAAAGCTAAATAGGAAACATGCAATCTGTTTTTAGATTTTCTTCCCAGACAAGGGCAGGCTGCCACCCACCAGATGAATTCCTCACGGAGAGAGTTTATAGTTTATAGCTGAAGTCTATGAGATTACTACTTATTCCCTTGAGTGCCTGTGACTACAGGTGCTGAGACAGGATCAAAGGGAAAAAACCTTTATTAATTAGTTTTCTGCTGAAGGAGAGAGGAGTTTCCCAGAGGGGAAGGTTTTCTTGTTGCAAATCTTAAGAGGATTCTTATCAACTCTGAGTGTGTGTGTGTGTGTGTGTGTGATGAGGTTGTTCTTGTAATATCTGTCATACCCATATTGAAATAGTCCTTGTTACTACTCATTGGAGTAGGAAATGGCAACCCACTCCAATATTCTTGCCTGGAAAATTCCATGGACAGAGGAACCTGGTGGGCTACAGTCTATAGGACTGCAAAGAGCCAGACACAAGTGAGGACCAACTGAACACACCTCCCCCCCCAATCATTACATTTAACATTTATCTAGAATTTATGAGTGTCAGGAACTATAATTTCTGTGCATTATCTTTTCTGTTCTTAACAAAGAAGCCAACAAACACACTGAAAAATCTCATGAGATACTTGTTACTTGGAGAAACAAGGCTAGAAAAATCAGTTAACGTCCAAAAATACACCTCTGGGGAATGGCATGGTTGGGACATAAACCACATTCTAAAAGATTCTAAATCTTGTCCTCTTAAAAACTGCTTTCTAGTGGAGCATGCAATTAAAGCACCTACAATTCTAGTATCTACAATTCTATATATGTAGATACTTAAAGATATTGGGCACCACCTAGTATTACTGAATTGATATCTCTAGGGCTGGGGTGTAGCAATTTACACTTTAAAAGCTTTTCCTGGTCATTTGAATGCTGCTAGCTACAGACTGCTGTTCAGAGACAATAAGGGTAGGCTATATCCTCACATAACTTCCAGTCAGAAAGCTGCTCATAGTATTGTTTTTTTAATCATCATTCATCCATCCATCCGTCCATTCAATATTCATAGACTACCTACTGCATCTAAGGATCTATACCAGATGTTAAAAGGTCATGAAAGAAAGTGTATTTCAACTGCTTATAAATGACAGTGAAGATCTTATATCTAATAAATAATTTAGACAGGAAGTGATAAATAAATAATATTTATTGATACAAGAGAAGCACTATGGGTTCACTGGAAGGAGAAATTACTCCCAGGGGCAGAAAGGTGGCAGGAAACAATCCTGAGATAACAGGATGTTGGGGCATCCTTTTTCCTTACATCACAGCGATTAATAGACATTGCTTTTCCTTTCCAATNGTTTAATCATTTGAGATGCTTTTCAATATTTTTCAGATGCTCCTGATACACCTAAGGGATGCTTTTGTGTCTTACGAACACTTGCTACATCTTCTGCTGCTGAGAAATCTTGGTTCACTTGTTGAACCCTGTTGAGTTAGTCACTGGTGTTAAAACCAGAAACACTTCTTTCCAACTCCTTTCAGAGCTTCTCTCACATCTTGGTTCCTCAGGCTGTAGATGAGGGGGTTTAACATGGGGACCATAACCCCATAAAACACAGAAGCCATTTTTCCTTGCTCTTGAGACCCTGTTGCACGATGGTGCAGATACATGTAAGAGAGCGTCCCATAGAAAATGGTGACAGCTGTCAGGTGGGAGGCGCACGTCGAGAAGGCTTTCTTCCTCCCTGCAGCAGAAGAGATCTTCAGGATGGCGATCAGGATAAACATGTAGGAAAAGATGACGACTGACACAGTGAATGTCATGTTAAACCCCACAAGGACTGTTAGCATCATGTTGCTGAAGTAAATATCAGAGCATGAGAGGGCCAGAATTGGGGGTGCATCACAGAAAAAGTGATTAATTTTATTGGATTTGCAAAAGCTCAGTGAGAAAATAAAACTTACATTTACAGAGGCATTTAGGAAACCTATGAAGTATGATCCAACTAACAGGTGAATGCAGGCCCTCCGGGACATGACTGTTGGATAGTGGAGAGGGTTACAGATGGCCACGTAACGGTCCACTGCCATAGCAGCCAGGATGTAGCAATCACTTGTTATAAAAGCCCCATAGACTAGTAATTGCACCACACAGCCTATGAATGAGATGGATTGTTCTGTTCCTACAAGGTTTTGCAACATCTTAGGGGTGATGGCAGAGGTGTAGCAGAGATCAACGAAAGCCAAATTTTGGAGGAAAAAGTACATGGGGGTGTGAAGGGAAGAGTCAATCTTGATGAGGAGGATCATGCCAATGTTACCCACCACGGTGACCATATAGATCATTAGAAATATTGTGAAGAGGACACACCAAGACTTGTGTTGACCAGTGAATCCCAGGAGAATGAATCCAGCTACTTCAGTGCCATTGTTCTGTTCCATGGTTGGCAAAATTAAGAATCAGCTGAAAAGGTGCAAAAAAAGACCAGAGAAATTTAAGAGGACTGTGATCATTTACCTAATCGTGAAACTCGAAATGGTACAGTATTTAATTTCACAGTTAAGTCAGAGAATAATTTTCATGACATAATTGACTTAGATTTTAAAGGCTGAACCTTGATACCTGACTTAGACATTTTCATCTGTAATTAGGGGAAGTGGTCATGGACCATTGTCTATGTTCTCAGAATTCAGAGTGATTGGTATTTCATAAACATATCAATTCAGGAACAAGTGAGATATGCTTAAATATGCTTTTATTTAATTATGCTTTTGTATGCATTCTATATTTTAATTAGAAATCCAAGTTTGCTTAAGTAATAATGACTATATTTGAATTCTTGACATATCCACAGAGTTCTATCTGATCTTGTTCCCCTTTATCTCCACATTCTCATTTTATCCCTTACCTCACCCTTAGGAACTGTTCTCTGCCATGATGGACTCATGGACCTGTAGCAGTCCATAAACCTTTATGGAAGTGTTTAACAAAGTATAGATGGCAAAGAATAATTTTCTTTGTAAAATTTGCAACCTGTTGTGGCTTAATATTTTTGTAAATGTCAGTAAAAAAAATTCTTAGCATTGTCAAAATTCTGTAATAGTTTTATATGCTCCATCTCACTTCTTGTCACTGCCCCATCATAGAGTGGAAACAGAGAGTCCAAGGACTGGTGACATATTACAAATTATTTTATCCAAAAATCTTGACACATCCATAGAATTCTGTGCAATTGTGCCCCACTTTACTCCCTGTCTGATCTTACATCTCTTGTCTCCTTGTTACTGTGCCCCCAGCCTCCCTGATTCCTCCTGTTCCTGCTCGCCTCCATTCCTGGCTCTTCCGGCCTGGCGTGTGCCTCCTGCTGCCTTAAATACTCTCTGGTCCATTTTCTACTTCTACCAGCACTTCCACAGCTAGCTCTTACTCTTTCGGTGGTCTCAGTTTGAATGACTCTTCCTCCAGGATTGTTCTCACACAAGTATGTCATTTCCTCCTGCCATAGGTCTTATTCTTTAGGATTTATATCAGTTTTAATAATTCTTTGTAAGATTATTTCTACACCTTTGCTTAATTTCTATTTTCTCATAGACCGTAGGTCCCAAGAACATAGCCGTTAGGGAACGTTCCTACCTCTACAAATAGTGCTTAACTGGATACATGAATAAACGAACGAGTGAAAGAATCAATAAATGAAGAGATTTATGAAATGTAGAAAAACAGCTACCTAAGTTACATAGAGTTTTATCAAAATGAGTACACACTACTTTGTTTTCTTTTAAGAAGCTGCATTTATTTATTTTTCTTTAGTATGCTTCTCTGATTCAAAGAGCTAAAACACACAGCTAGGATCAAAAAGAAGTTAAACATTCATGCTTTCTTTGGTTTATCTTTTTAAAAAATAATTACGGTGTGTTTACTCTGGGCGAGACACGGAATAGGTGCTGACAAACCACTGTTTGGTGCCTATGCCTTTAGGATCGCCACTTCTCTTGCTCGGTTACCATTACATAAGATCTCTCACTGTCCGTGGCAGTTTTCTTTGCAGTAAACTCTGCTTTGTGTGATATTAATATAGCCACTCATTCAATCCTTTGATTAATGTTTTCACGCTGAATCTTTTCCTTTCTTTAAACATACATATAGAATTATTTTGAAATGATACACAGCATACAGTTCCATCATGTTTTCCTATCCACTCAACTCTTTCTTTTCATTGAATTAATCTTGGAATATTAAGAAATAAGAGAGAACATGGAAAGAGCAAAGATATGAATAAATACATTAGACTTACCTTCTCTTAAATTTTATAAATTATATTTGACAGCTAAAATAAAAATTTTGACCCTGTATAATGTGGTTCTCAGTGTATGTGGAAGGAATATTTATGATGAGTATTAATGCATTCCAAATGGAGAGAGTAAAGAGATGCAAAAGGAAATAAGGTTTCCACACTCACTCAAACTGATAAAATGTATTTGAAGAAAGACATTTCTACAGTGTATAAAAAACTGTCAATCTCAACATTAAAAAACAAAACAAAACAAAGTAAAAGTGAATAATGACATAGACGATTCACCAGAGAGGGCTACAATAGGTAGGTAAGCACGTGAAAAGATATCCAATATCATTAGACAATAGGAAAATGCAAATTCAGAATACAATGAGATATCACTACAAATCTAATGGAATGGCTAAAATAAAAAACAATGATGATACCAAAATATTGTTTCATAACAGCTTCATTTGCAATAGCTGCAAACTGTAAACAACCAAAATGTCCTCCAATAGGTGATTGGTTAAAGAAACGGTGGTACATCCATACTGTGGAATATTGCTCATCAGTAAAGAGGCATGGGTTATTGACACTCTCAAAAACTTGGATGAGTGTCAAAAGCATTATGCTAAGAGAAAACGAGCCAATTGTAAAAAAGTCACATAGCATCAGATGTTTCCTTTTATCTAACATTTTCAAAATGACAAGATCGTAGGGATGGAGAATAGATTCAGAGTGTCAGGAGGGGATTGGTGTGATTAAGGGAGATCTATTGGAATCCAACGGAGGGTGGATCCACATTTTGATAGTAGTAACACAGATCTACAGGTGTGATCAGATGACATAGAGCTATACACACACAGTCACATATACCAATATAAAAATCCTGCTTTGATGTCATACTATAGTTATGTAAGATACAGCCTTGGAAGGAAAACTTGGTGAAGAATACATGGGACTTCTCGTTACTATCTTTGAAACTTTTTGTAAATGCATGCTTATTTCAAAGCAAAACTTCATGAAAATGAAGAAAAACGGGAAAAAGTAAAGCCTGTTTTGCAGAATCATGAAGATCAAGTAAGTAAATTTATGTAAACTTCCCAGCAAACGGGCAGGTATTGAATTAGTGTTCATCAAGTAGCCATCATAACACATGCAAATAATGCATTAAGGGTGTGAATACTGACTGACTGATCTATCGATCGACTGAGTCATTTCACTCTTTAATCACTGACGTCCTTATCCAGGCAGTGCTCAGCCCACTGAGTTCCCGCACTCCATTTCTAGTCTATTCCTATTGGTCCTGGGGCACACGGAACTTTGACTCTGACCCTTCTCTCGGCCACTTCCTGGACACACAGCAATGATATGCAGCCGATGCTGAAAAATGGAAATTATATGGCTTTACTTACCTAGGAGCAGCCTCCAGATTCTCTTCCTGCAACTGGTGGAGGCTGATGGCTCACCAAGTCTCTCTGTGTGTTTCCTTCCCATCAGGCAATTTCTAGCTGGGGCTTAAGGGATCAATGCTATGTCCNTTCTCTGTCCTTCACCATCTCCTGGAACTTGCTCAAACTCACGTCCATTGAGTTGGTGATGCCCTCCAACCATCTCATCCTCTATAGTCAAATCTCACTCTTTTTCATAATTGCATTACATTTCATAGAATAGCAGCATTCCTTAGTTTATTCAGACCACTGTCACACACTCTTGGCAGACAAATATGGTTTCCAGCCCTACTAATAAAAACAATGCTATAATAAATGTACTAGTGTGCATAATTGTGAATATACTTTTAGGACTTAGAAGTTATTTAAGGGAGAAATCTCTGAGTCTCTGGGTGGTTACTATCTAACTGCTTTCCAGAAGAAGGTGCTATCAATTTAAATCACTTCTAGAAAATCCAGGGTATTTCTCCAGATAGCCAACACATTGCAGAGAAACTTCTATATACTTTGTCATTACGATAGATGAAAACAGTATGCCTTAGTTTGTCTTTTTCTCCTATGAGTCAGGTTAAGCATCTTCCCACATGTTCATGAAAAAGTAATATTTCTTTTTCTGTGAATTATCTGTTTACATATGTTGCTCTCTTGATAAAGTATTTTGTTTGATTTTATATTGATATTTTGACTCAAGTACCCTTCCTTATAAGAACTGCAAATATATATGTCTCAATATCGATTGTTTTACTTTGCTAATGGGGTGTATTCCTATGAGAAAACTTTGAATCTTGTACAGCAAATTTATTTTGCATTTTGTGTCATGTTTACAAAGGCTTTTACTCCAAGGTTTAAAAAATTAAACATTTTCTTTTATTGTCTTTAAAATTTAATTTGTCTTTAAAATTTAAATAATTGAACTATTTAAAATTTATTTTTATGTAGTATGTGAGATGTTTCCAGTTTTACTCACCCCAAATTATCTAGTCATTTTTACTGCTATTTATGGCATGATCTATTATATGCCATAACTGCAGTATCACCATTGTCACGTAATAATTTATCTTATGGATTTGGACCTATTCCTGGACTTTCATATCTGTTGTATTGATCTTCCAATCTCCCCGTGTTTCAGTACCACACCGTTTTATTATAGCTCCATAATGTCTTAGTAGCTGGCTGGGTTACTTTCGCCTTATTATTTTTTTATAACCCCTAAAATTTTTGACCACCAGTGTTTGTCATTTTCTTCATACAAAATGCAGAATAAGTTTACAATTTACTACCATTCAACAAAATATTCTATTTGTTTATTTATTGGGTTCATATCAAATTTATAGTAACATATGAGGATCTGCCAAGGAATGGGAGAATATTTCAATTTGTTGAAGTCTGCTTTTTATAGATTTCTTGATGAGCTCTTTCTCATTTCTTATTAAGTTTATTTTTAGGTCTTTCGAAGGATAAATTTATGTTCTTCCATTATTTATTGTTTTAAGCATTATTATTAATTTATGTGGAACGATTTTTAACTAGACTTCTTGCTGAATTTCCCTGTTGCTTATAACAGTTGATTCTCTGGGCTTGCTAGAAAAGAATCATGTTATTTAAAAATAAATATATTTTGAAAAATCATCTTTGTTGAGGCATAATTCACATACAATAAAGCACACTCATTTTAAGTTTTTTTTTTTTTGAGTTTAGAAAGTATATATCCATGAGATTATTACCAGACTAAAAATAAAAGAAGCTTTTGTCATAAAAAGAAATCTTGTGCTTTTTCCCAGTCATTAACTTTTTTACAGGTAACCATAGATCTGATTTCAGATTTTCCTGTGTTGTT